TGAATATAGATCAAAAGATGCCGCCAGAGAGTTACATGACTATTAGATAATATGCAAGTTATGCTGACATCTGAGAGCTGCATAGCTATTATGTATCATACATAATAGGTACCAAATGCTGACAAAGGCAATAACATCACAGTTCCACGAAGGGGCACCAGAAAATGCACTGCTAGGGGTAACATCATAGTATTTCTAGAAGATCTGTGACGTCATAGTTCCACAAAGTAGCACCAGAGGGCGCAGAAATCTTAGGGAGGGGGATATCATAGTTCCACCATGCTGCACTAGAGGGCACATTAAAATGATAAGCTTTGTTTGTATTTGTTTTTGTTTGTTTTTAATTATGCACAAAGCTACACAAGGGCTATCTGTGCTCTGCCCACCACGGGTATCGAAACCCGGTTTCTAGGGTTGTAAGTTCGGAGACATACTGCTGTAGCACTGGGGGCAATATAATGAGCATATAGATAGTTGATGAGGAAAGGACCAGTGGATAATGTAGATTATAGAGATAACATGTAATCTTATTAAAACATATCTTAAAATTAATATTTTATCTAATTTGCATAACGTTGCTTTTACAGTTATCAATACTGAAACGTTTTAATCTCTATCACAATTACAGTTTTGCTTTATAAGCACTACTTGCATTAAATCTTCGATTTTAATCTCTAGGTCTTGTCATTATCGTGAATTTTATAGTTCTTGATTACATATTTAATTGCATTACATATGCTTCACAAAGGTGGTTGCTGTTACTATAGTCAGATAGTGATACTATAGTCCTGTAGGACTGGATACAGATTTCATCTTGTCACAACTTATGTTTGTTGCTGGAACAAAATTTACTGATCCTTTGTTTCAATTTTATCTTAAGGAGCATGACATTCACCTCTTTATTACACACTATAAACAAAAGCATCTATAGCAGAATGATTTAATTGTACTATTTAAGACTAAATTTTTTGTGCTATTTTACGTATCGCGGAACTTACAAATATATACCTGTACTGAAAAAGCTGGTCAAGGCCTATAATTAGTCGTATAATCGCAGTATTAAGATGAGACCAACGGAAGTGAATTACTTCAATCGGTTTGTGGTGTAGAAGACTCTTTACAAAATAAAGGGGTAGATCAATTAACTAACAGTAAGGTAAAGCGTCAATCTAAGAAAGGATATATCATACGAAACCCTTACGATTTACAGGAAATTGGAGAGAAATCCTCCATAGGTTCGTTGATAAGAGTGAATTTAATGGATAATGGTAACTAAATCTGTAAGATATAACTTTTGTGGAAATCAGAGTGAATGGGAAACTGATTATTGCTCGGTCTTTGCAATATTAGTTATGACGCTGATATGTTCACACGAAGTTTGAAATTTTATTTAATGGAGCAGAAAAACAGTCTGAATACCAAAGAATTGATATCAGATATTCTCTGTCTTTGACTTGATACCCGATCTATATTCCAGAGATTCTCTATTTAATTTGGTAAAACAGGGAAATTTAGGCACGTTTTGGGAGGGATTGCACAATTAATCAGTCCAGAAAAAAATTAACTGATATCTAAAAATATTATGAACAGTATACAAATTTGTTCAGTATTCTCAAAAGATTTGTGAACACAAGACAAGTTCAGAGGTGTGTTTGCCAGTGATCAACTCCATGACCAAGCAGCTAAAAAGATCTAAATCATTAATTTGGATCCAAGTCATCAACCAGGCAATCACCAGGTATATATTTACTTTGAACCATATGGAGTACATACCCTAACTTCACATAAGAATAATCATTATAAAGACATGTTGAATATCGACTTAAGCCCTCCCCCCAGTGGCACAGCGGTATTTCTGTGGACTTTTAACGCTAAAAACTGGGTTCCGATACCAAAGATGGATACAGAACAGATAGCTCATTTGTGTAGCTTTATTCTTAACTATAAACAATCAAAGATCGACTTAAAATAAAGAAAGTACTGCAAGAACTTTATTTGTTTCTGTATGGAATATATTGTATTTATTATGTCATGTGTGTTACAATTTGGAATGATCTGAAACCGAGCTACATGATAATTCAAATTTAGTAGTTAAATAAATGCCGATATATTTCCAATTTATTATATTTGCCAACAAGATTGATACACACAGTTTAATGTTTTTAATACACAAACAAAAATACAATTTACAATAATAGTTATTACAAACAATGATTTATATACAAAAGTTTTACAAACTTACAAGCAATATAAAGCCTTATTTCAAGTCTGGAACTTCCTTGATATCTTATCGAGGGTTCACGATGAGCGAATTAATTTCCAATTGATGTAGGTACAATTCACTTAATAGAGATGTTTATTTTTGTTGTAAATACAATCTAATGAGTTTACCATGAACTTTTATGTTTTAATGAACTATTTTAAAAATTTGTCAGAAAACTTATTTTTCTTTTAATATTCTACCAAAACATGTGAGATCAGGAAGGAATCAAAACTGGCTGAACAAAAAATCATACGATATATTCCAAATTTTAATAAATTAACAATAAGTATATTACAGGGTTATTCCACAAAGAAAACGAGAGAAAGAATTAGAACACTACACAACTAATATAATTAAAATACTCAAGTGCCTTCACTATTTTATGTTCTGCAAAACACATAGAAAGAAACATCGATACATAGGTTAAGTAAGTGAAAGGAACTGTTGACTGTTGACATGGAAAATAATGTTTTTATACTTTTTCCTATATAAAATACACAGTCTTAATTTTATCTTAGGTCTGGAGATAGGACATATATTCAACAACATCCACAGCGAACGTTTTGACTATTCTTGTTTGACTGAATAGCAGGACTTGAGTATTTAGTTTGAAGTACTCCACCTTAATAAATGCTGTAACAACAATGACGGATATAATGATTTTTGCCAACAC